GAGGTCCGACAGATGATCTTTCTGAAGTTTAGTCTTGACAATCATATCATCAATATATGCCTCGACGTTTCTCCCAATCTGATCAAAGAACACAGTGTTTATCATTCGTTGGAAGGTAGCCGGGGCATTCTTAAGACCAAAACGGCATGACCGTGTAACAGTATAACCCCTGATCAGTGACGAAGGCCGTCTTCTCCTGATCTTTCTTCCATAAAGGAATTTAATGGAAACCAGAATAGGCGTCCATAAAGCTCATCAAAGCATGGCCGGCTGTTGAGTCGACCAGGTTATCAATTTTAGGCAGAGGATAACTGTCTTTGGGCACGCCTTGTTTAAGTCTGTGTAGTCTACACACATTCGCCAGGTGCCATTCGGCTTTTTAACAAGCACCACATTTGCAACCCAGTCTGGGAAGTAACATTGCCGAATGAACCCTGCATTAAGTAATTTTTTAACTTCGGCGGCTGCCGCCTGACTTCTTTCTTCGCCATGGTTCCGCTTCTTCTGCCGTACCGGCTTCTTTTTCGGATCCACAGCGAGTTTATGTACCGCCAGATCAGGACTAATGCCTGGCATTTCATGGACTTCAAATGCAAAGATGTCCTTGTATTCTTTCAATAGGTTGTGAAAGTCGTCACCAAGGTTTCTCAGAGCAGTCGTCCCAACTTTGACTGTTCGGTCAGGACGTGAGTCGTCTAAGATCAGGTCCGCATGCTCACCAGCCGGCTGAGGGCGGAACTCATCTGGCCGCTCCTCTGCCAATGATTGCCATTTTCTCGCTTTTCTTGCGGACTCTGTCTGGGACGCCTTTCTCTTTTTGCCGCCTGCTTCTTGAACAGGCGCACTCTCCTTGACATTGTCAAGGTCTGTTTTTTCTCCACTTGACCCAGTGGCCATAACAGTGGGCTTGACATCCGAGAGATAGCACTCTCGGGCCATCCTCTGATCTCCCCTTAGGGAGCCGACTGTTCCATTATCCCTCTCAAACTTGAGCAACATAAGAGACGGGATTATAACAGCCTTGGAATTATTCAGGGTTGGTCGACCCAGAATCATGTTGTAGGCCGAGAGTTCCTCTACTACTAGGAACCGGACTACCATGTGTCGTCCTTCCCCTTTTTCGCCCAGGCGAATGGGTAAATCTACTCGTCCCAGTGGGTGGACGACTCCTCCTCCAAACCCTATTAAAGGGTGGGAGGCCGGATGTATGCAGTCAGTCTGATATTTCAGTTTCGACAGACATTTGCTGCTGATGAGATCTGAGGAGCTCCCGGTATCTATGAGGATTCGGCCAACTCTCTGGTTGGCCACTTTACATTCAATAACGAGAGGGTCGTCATGAGGACCCCTTACCCCTCCTAGATCCTCTTCAGTGATGACAATCTCAGGAAATGTATATTTGGACGGCCGTCCTTGGTGAACGAAATTTACATCTAACCGCCTTATATTATCTTTGTTGCCCCTAATAGTGGGGCCGCCTCCTGAGAAGCCGCCTGCAATGGTGTAGACGACTGCATCATCTGTATCGGAGCTGTCGGCCTGTTGATTCTTTTTGGCCGACAGCTTTTTTGAGGAAGTGTTCCCCGTAGATTTCTTGACATAAGTGTCAAGATCACCTTGCTCAGCCAGGCGGTCTAGGTACCGCATGAGACTGATGCAGTCATTGGTATGATGACCAACGTCATCATGATAAGCACAGATTTTATCTTGGTTTCGGTTGTTTGCAGAACCCTTCATGGGGACCGGCTTCTCAATTGAGATCCGTCCCTTGATTTCTTTTAGGATAAACTGGTTATCCTTGTTAAACGCATACTTTGGGGAGTATGGTTTGAATTCTTTTTTCTTTTTCTGGGCCGGCTGTTTAGAGGAATCAGCCGCCCAGACCTCTTTTCTTTTCTCCTCTTTGTTTGACGACTGTTTCTGTCGTCCTTCTCTTTTGTCGAACCTTTTCCCGTCCGACTGTTTAATCGTACACAGATCAGTCGCCTGTATATAGGCTTCTGCTTCAATCAAGGCCTCTTGAAGAGTCGCCACCCTTTTTCGAACCAAATCAAATTTGAAGGTAGACCCGTCTTTGAGACCTCTTAAAAATTCTGTATAAGCTACCTCATCCGGTAACCCTTGAATCTGTATTCTCATCAGGTTAAAACCGCCTGATGTAAGAACGAAGCCCCTCCTTCTCGCCCTGCTGAATTGTTCCCAAATCAAGGGTCGTTTTCTTCGCAGGGATGTTCATGGCGAAGTTGGAGGCAAATAAGTAAGCAAGCGTCCTGAAGCTATTTACACAACCAGTCGGCAGGTTGCCGAACCATTGTTGTGCGATTCCTTTGAGAGTCGCTGGGAAACACTTGCACCAAGTGGGATCATCCAACCCTTGAAGGTACATTAGGTTGGTGAATGCCATCAGATGGTCTTCTGGGTTAGTAGTGCCGTCATAGGCGCCTACTAGTACATTTTTCACTTTGGCCGGCTGAGCGGCTTCAGTAATTTCCTTGGAGAAGGCCGACGGCTGTTCACCAAGTCTAAGCAACCGTAGCTGCCAGTCCATAGGTTGGACGTTTTTTGTTGTAGGTCCACCAAATGGAGGTGGCTGCATAAAATACTGTTGTTGCGGCACAAATGGTAAGTTTGGTACCGCCTGGGCACTATGAAAGCCGGACTGACGGGAGGTGCCGCCTGACTGACTCTCATGGTACGACTGAGTATGCCTCATCGAGGCATTTCGCAAACTGTCTTGAAAGTTTGAAGTAGAAGCCGACTCTGACAATCGGTCACTCTTCTTCTGCTCTAGCAGTAGCCGAGCATCTGTGAATGTTTGCTTTGACCCGTCCGCCTGAATATGACGAACCGGTTTCCTATTTCCTGTAGGATAACGGAATTTTGTGAAATCAAGGGCAGGTGGCTCCCGCTTTCTAGATTTAGGATGAGGAGTCGCCTCTCGCCCTTGAACTGGCTTCCTCTTCAGTGAAGTGGAGGGTTTCTTGGCCAACTGCTCCTTGACTGAAGCAGGCGGCTTCTTGTTGATTAACTCTTGAATCTCTCCCTTGAAGTCCCTCATGAAGGTCATGAGTTCGTTCCTTGTGATGGGAGCAGACCCATCAGTCGGCTGTTGCCGAACAGGCGGTGCGCCTGCTGGCTCGCTTCCTGTTTGAAGATGCTCCCGTTCCCTCCTTTCGGTATGACGGGTACGTCGAGCCCTTAGGGTCCCGTCTGGAGCTGTATGAGTTTCAACTTCAAATTCACTTTCGGTGTCATGGTCCGACTGAACTTGAGGGTCGTTTAGGGGACGCCTCTCTTCAGGAGTCGGTACAGACTTGGATGCCATCTCTGAAGTACTCTCCCCACAGACGACGCCAAATGTTTCGGGGTTTTCTGATGTCCTGCGGGAGAGTTACAATTCCGAGACTGGAACCGGACGCCTGTACCTGCAAAATAACGGAGACTCCTGGGAGCTCCGCCTCCAACGGTCAAGTTAGTACCTGATTAAGGAGTAATTAATGCGGAAATTAAAGTAATAAGGTCTCTCTAGGTGAGAGTGTTTAATGTTGGTAATCTGCTTTGTTAGCGAGATCAGCCGGTTATTAGTGTGTTCCGTAACGTTTCTGTTCTGTTCTGTTGTGTTTTTTTTTAATGAGGATTAATTAAGTATTTATAGTCTTGAGAAGCGTGCCACTCTCTAGGTTTAGGGTAAACCTAGGGCTGACCGGGCCTCTAAACAGGATTGGGCCTTGTTGGCCGGTTTTCCCATTTGGCATGGGTGGACACGTGGCGTGTCTCAATTGGTCCGTAGAGGACGTATCTGTGATTGACACGTGGCAGACTCCTATTGGCCTACGTGAAGGACACGTGGCGGAACCTGGTTGGTCCACTTATCAGACGGTGATTGGTGGATAAAAATCCCCTAATCACCTTTAACTGTAGAATAGTTGATCCTAGTAAAAATATGAGGTGCAACACGCGTCCCAATGTCCCGAGTCTTTGAGAATTTCTGGATCCGCTTGAGCAATGCAACAACCTCCTTTTCTAACTCCCCAAGAGAAGAGAAAGGGAAAGGAAGAAAGCCATATCTAATTGCTTGACAACTAGATTCGTACTTGACCCGCTTCCAAATGGCCGCATCAGTCACCACCCGTCTTGGAACAAAGTCATAAATCCCATATTGTGTCAATGGAGAAGACCCTGTCAAGTCAACACAGACATTGCGACCACGACCCCATGAATAAAGTAACAAATCTGCAAGTCTGAGAGCCCCGTCGTTCCCTCCAAATAACCCCATGTCCACCTCCTTTATAGATGAAATCCCTAATCGATAGCAAACATCAACAAGGGTATCTCGAACAACATTATGCCGATGTTTAATACCCATAATACCAGTACAAGACACCGCGTGATCACCGAAAATATCCTCAGCAAAAACCCTTGAACAAGCAGAGCACGGTGTCGTGATAGAGAACAATGGAACACCCAACCGGTAGCACATCGCACATCGATAAGTCTTGACGTTCATCGTCTGACCCAACCCCAAAATAGGGACCGCCCGAAGCGAAGCAAAGGTGTGATCTCCCTGCTGTGATTTCCATAATGCTGATTGTCGAGGAGTTAAAGATTAAGAAGTTTCTGCAGAAGCGGTAACCTTAGTGAAATATATATTTGCCAATTTCTTCATGAGTTTAGGAGCAGCGACCCTCACTAGGATTACTCAGAATATCAGACTCCACTATTCCATTAAACTGACCCAACGCATCCTCAAAGGCTTGTCCAAGACCAACAATGCCAGCATATTGTAGAGGTTGTGTCTGCAGTACATCATACTGCAGCCGAAAAGCAAGAAAAGCATAGTGACGAACATCACCTGCGGAATAAACACCAAACCCATGCCCCGAAGCAGTAACAATACGCTCCAAGGAAGAATGAAGAGCCCCATCGAAAGTGCGCTGAGCCATCTCAAAAGTAATAGGAGGACACTACTACATTTTTAACCAAATGCAACGGCTAAATTTTGGTTAACGCCACGGCTACGTACATAACCGTTGCAATAGCTAGGTCTATTGCGACGGCTGCTTAATACCTTCTCAATAATAGGGTCTAAAGCAACGGATAAGAGTTGGCCGTTGCAATAGGGCTTTTTTTTTTTTTTTTTTTTTTTTTTTTTTTTTTTTTGCAATAGGGCTGTTTTATACAATGAGTGTAAAATATGAACTTTTTACCTGGGCGCACTAAAAAATCCCACCTAATTTTTCTCCAAAATTAAAGTTTCACGCTTTCCTAAGAAAACCCGCCCTTCCTCTAAAAAAACAAAAGAAATCCGCCAAATTTCCTTTTTTTTTTCTTTTTCATGAATAATCAAAAAGGCTACAAACCCGATCCACCCAGCTTTCTCAATCAAATGGCTTTTTATAAAAAAAAACCAAAACAGGTTCTCTTCTTCAAATTTTCCAGCGGCATCTTGAATTTAAGGAGTGAGATGTTAGAGGAAGGAGCTAGGAATGGACCCCGCAAGCCGCAACCACCTTTGATCTGAGGACGATCTATGTTTTTGAATTTTGACGAGCGATTTCTGTCTCCTTTGATCTGACGGTGCCTCTTATTACTTCCTGGTTTTCAGTTTTCCAAGTTGTAAGTTTCTGTCCAACATTTAAACCTTAGATTCAATTTCACCTCTTTGTTTTTGTTTTGCCCAAGTGTTAAAATTTGTTGCTGCAATTGTACCTTTCTCTTTGTTTTTAAATCAAAATTGAAAAAACCTAATAGGGTGGAGAGGAGAAATCTGTTGCTGCAATTGTACATTCTCTTTGCTGGAGAGGAGAAATAGGGAAGAAGAAATTAAAAAAAAAAAAACAAAAAACTTCTTTCAGTTTTCTTTTAATTAAAAATGTTGCAGACTTAAAATTTGTGTGGTATGATAAGATAACATAATATTTTCCAGTTTCCTAATCACGACCTCTCGTTCTTAATAATTATTCTCAAAGTAATAAAGGTTTTAAATTGGTATTGTTGAACGCTTGTGTTTTTTATTTATTTGATTATTTTTTTCTAGATTATAGATATTGGTTGATAGTTAATTTACAATCTGGGTTGTGATTTTAAATTAATCATTAGACCAACAATTGATATGAGGAAAAGTGCTAGATTAGTGTTATTTAGACAAGTAGTTGATATTTCTGAAAAAAAAAACAAGTAGTTGTTAGGTGGTGCTAGATTAGTGCCCGAATTTCAAATCATTTCTAAGTTGTATGAGTTTCTCTCAAGCCTCAGCATAACTGTCCTGATGCATACATAAGCTAGGTGTAAATTGTCATGTATGGATATAAATGTATTAGCATGTTTGAGTGTGAGCATTACCTAATTTCAATTTATTCAATGTTCTGAATCTCTGTCTTATAGTTATATTAGAAATTTGTTGTATTTTCCTTTTCTAAAATGTCTCTATTTTGTATGATAATTTTAATCTAACTATCAATGTTGCCATATTTCATAACTCATTATATGGCTATCTTGAAATAAAATTGTACTGCCGGATGAAACTGTTCTTAAATAATAAACAACAAATTCTAGATTTTTAGAGATTAAGCAGTATTTGTGAGTTATGCAATATTTTTTTTTTTTTTTTTTACTATTTTAGATAATCATTTATTCTAGTTATTAATCTTATTATTGAAATTAAACAATCAGCCCCAATAACATATGAAGTATACAATAGTATCCAAAATACCTCAGCCATAATCCTTTATAGCTAACCCAGTTTAGATTTTCTTGTTTAATTCATTACCCAATTATATTATTCTACAATATTGACAAAATTTCTTACCAATAATTACACTAATATTTGTAAAAGGCTCATACAAGGTTTCTCGATGTTTGTGCTTAGATGGTTGCCAGTTTGGCTCATTTTGATATTGCATAGCTAATATGTCAAGATATAACAATTATCCTCTTATGTTTCAAATATCTTTAGTTCCCTCATATACTATTATTCTTCTGCACAGGGGATGACTTATGTATCATGGATTTGATATTATAGTTGATTACGTAGGCGTCCCAATGAAGTCCTAGACCACACTTTGAAGCAAAAAGAGTGAGCTTTAATTCTCGTATGTTTATAGATTTATTGCAAAGTTGTTTATTTTTTTATTGCTATGTCTTATTTGTTGGCATGTTCTTTTCAAGGGGAATTATCTAGGGGCTCATCCGTGGAGTGAATGTCAGGAGGATCAGCTAATGTTGATTAATATAAACTCATTACTTGTCCTAATATTACTTCAAGTAAATTTATATTCCTTGCCTAGATTTAATCGTGCTGCCTTGATATTTTTTCGTTGCTTTCAATTACATTTCATCTATTTGATTTTGAATGTATGCGTCTTTCTGCATATGAACAAATGGTATTCAATCTCAGTTACCTCTTCTGGAGTTAATGGACTGTGGTATGTTTATTTATGATCCTGACATGGATGATGCTTCTGTAGATGAAAGCAGTGATAAGTGTCCACAGAAAAGTAGCAAGCTAAGCTGCATCATATATATCCTGAAGCTTATTATCAAGCAAAAGAAACTTTGCTTGTGGGGTTGTTCTGGCTTAGATGTGAGTACCTCTACTTTACATTGACTAATTTCTCTTACTTTTCACACCTAGATTCTTTTCTGATTTAGTGAATAATTAAAATTTCAGCCCTATACTTATTTGTCTATTTGTCTAGAGCTTAATGACCTGAATCTTACCTCTTGTACAAAATTTGCATCCAGGTTATTAATTTGAAATATTAGATTTACAATGGATGGTTTTAATAAAAGTTGTTAATGTTAACAATTTTAAGGTTCAGAGAGGTTACTTCTTTAGTGTCCCAATTTAGTAAGTGTTCATGTAGCTGATTGTGAAAGTTTGATGTTTGAGGTTGTTGAAAGTCAGATATATATGAGTCCTCTCAGAAAATATTGATTGGTATACCTTCCTCTAACTACGTCTGTTGTTCCACTATTATTTCATCTTGTTGATAATACGGAAAGTTTTTTAAATTAGGTTTCTTTGAAATAATATCCATTTAAAACCTGCCTTAAGTTAAGCTAAATGGTTAGTGTTCTAGTAGCCTTAGTGAGACCATTTTCTGTAGCCTGACAATCTTAGGTATTTTTTAAGCTAGAGCTGCTTAACTTTGACATTGAACAAGCTCACACCTGACATACATGCCTATGATTGAGGTATTTTTCTTGTGAATTACAAATTTAATGGATGTTATATATAACTGTAAATTACAACAAATTATTTTCTGTTTTTGCTTTCTAGGATTAAAATGCTTGCAGATTAGCCGTTTTCAGAGTATAACAGTTTTCACGTTCATTTGTCCAAATAATTTTATTTATGTAAGCAGAGTTTTGCATTTTATTTTGTTCTGAACCTGATAATTAATTTCTGTTATGCTTGTATATGCCATTCTTGTCTTGTGAGTAATTTGCTAAACTCTGCAAAATCCTAAAACTAATGAAACAAATTTTGGGAAATCTGAGTAGTATCAACAAAGGAGGAATAATGTGAGTAGTTTTTGCTATATATATGTGTATCTGCTGTAATTTGGTCTGAGATATAATGTGATGAAGTTTGTGTATTTTGTTTATCAGGGGATTTAGATCCATTGGATATGGTGCAAATAGTGCTACAGGTGGAAGATGCTTCCAGAATTGCTTTACTTGAGAAATTTGAGAAGCAGGAGAAGAAATGATAATGTGGTTCAAAGAATTGCTGAAAATATTGTTTGGGGGACAAAATGATTTAATTTTAACTTTTAATTTTTTTTCTTAATTAGTTTAACTAGTGATAATTTAATTTTTTAATTTTCCTTATAGATAACAACGTAATTTTAATTTATATTAATAAAATTCTAATTTTTTTTTATTGAAAATTTTGCTTATTTTTTTTTTTTATTATCATTATTATTATTGGCATTAGGTATATGCATTGTGTGGCATTAGGTATTAGGAACCGTGGCATTAGGGAATATGCAACGTGGCATTATGTATAGGAAACCGTGGCATTAGGTATAGGTTATCGTGGCATTAGGTATAGGAAACCGTGGCATTAGCTAATACCTAATGCCACGGCAATAATGTAACCGTTGTATCAGGTATTGATCTAACGCAACGGATCATTGATGCCATGGCATTAGGTGTTATATGTCGTTGCATTAGACCTATTGCAACGCCAGCAGATGCCACGGTACATGGCCGTTGCGTTAGGCCTAATTCCACGGATTTTGATGCCTAATGCAACGAATTTGGGGGTTGCAATAGGTCAAAAATGTAGTAGTGAGGACAAGTACGCAATGCAAAGTAGAGTTTAGAAAATCCGGTACATGCCCTAAGTAACAACAGCTCACACTGAGGATCATCCAGCATAGCGACCTTATCCATAAAAGAAATGGTCTTGGTCACCCTCTACATCACAAGCTCACCACTAAAACCAGAGTCGGAACTAGCAGGACCAGCAAGCAACTTAACACCACGCAAAGGTCGAGCAGTATTAGGTGTAAAGACACCCACAATCCTGCTTCGAGGGTCTTCTGTAGGCCAGAAAACTTCTTTTTTTTCCATGTTAAGACGTAACCCAGAACGAGGCCATTCCTCAATAATCAATTGTAAGACCTTCCCCACCACCAACGTGTCACCAATAATAGTGTCGTCATCCAAATACCAAGCCTGAAGATGTACATCAAAAGCCTATCTGATTTTACACACCAGGGGCTGTAAAACCAAAGCAAAAAGCAAAGGACTAAGGGGATCACCTTGCTGCACCCCTTGAAACGACTATAAGGTTTGGTCTCCATAATATAATCTGGCTTGATTAGAATAGCATAATTCAACCCATCGCGAAATTCCCATTATTATTATTGTTATTATTACTATTATTATAAAAACAAACAAAATCATATAACTTACAAGAAATTAGTGGAAAACCGAGATATAATCTAGACCCCCACTTTTCTAGCTATAGAAAAGCTTATCCTAATGAAAATACGAGCAGCAGCAAGTGCTCCTATCTCTTTATTCTTTGAAAAATTCAGGACCCGTTTTAGCAACGCAACAACCCTCTTCTTTAACTACTACTATTACTACTATACTACTACTAGCTAGCTACTAATGTTGATAATTAAAGGATATGTAATAAAATGAAAATAATTAGAGGATTTAGAGTGAAAATATCAAGATTTAATTAATAATCAGATTCTTTCTCATTAAATACATTTGTTTTACATGTAACAAAGTAAACAATCTGATTAAAAACCTGAAATTGATAAAAAAAAAAAATGAAAATCATAACTACATTGGACTATAATAATCATATGATTGAAAAGTCTTAAACTACCATGACATTCCAAAAAGAAAATATTTAACATTGTTATGGCAAAAGTCAAGGAATTCTTTACCTATAATTCACAAAAGATGATCAAAGGTGGATTAGTGAATAGTGTAAAAGTCAAAGCGGGTCAAGTAAAAAAGAACGGAGGAAGTGTATATATATATATATATATATATATATATATAAGGGATCCGGTGAGAATAGGTTCATATGTGAGAATTTATACTTATATGAGAATTGATTTAAAATTTAGAACATGTTAATAAAAATTTAGAACATGTGAAGAGTATTAAAATTTTATACATATGAGTAATAATTTAGAACATTTGTGTGAGTAATATGTTAGAACATTTGATTTAAGAATTAGAACAGGTGATTAAAAATTTATAAAATTTGATTTATGAAATTTTAAACATATGAGTAAAATTTAGAAAATTTGATTTAAAATTATGAACATGTGAATAAAAATTTAGAACAAACTGATATAGAATATAGAAAGTGTGAGTAAAGAATTTAGAACATACGAGTAAAAAAAAACAGAACATACGCTTCAAAATCTGGAATATATAATTAAAAATCTTAGAACACACGTTTTAAAATTTAGAACATATAATTTCAAATTTTGGAACAAGTTATTTAAAATTTATGACATTAAACTTAACTAATTTATGGTTTAGAACATGTGAGTACTAAATTAGAACATTTGAATTAATTTAGAACACATAAGGAAAAGTTTAGAACATCAGATTTAAATTTAGAACATACGAGTAAAAATTTAGAACATAAAGAGTGTTCTCACATACGAAATAAATATATATGTATATATATATATATATGTATATATATGTATATATATATATATATGTATATATATATATATATGTATATATATATATGTATATATATATGTATATGTATATATATATATATGTATATGTATATATATATATATGTATATATATATATATATATGTATATGTATATGTATATGTATATATATGTATATGTATATGTATATGTATATATATATATATATATATATATATATATATATATATTTATTTATATATTCTTATGTAAGAACACCTCTTATGTTCTAAATTTTTATCTGCTTATGTTCTAAAGTTTTTCCCATATTCTAAATTTTTTCCAATTATGTTCCAAATTATTTCCTATGTTCCAATTTTTTTATTTTAGCTTATGTTCTAAATTTGTTCCTATGTTCTAAATTATTTTTTCATCTTATGTTCTAAATTTTTTCCTATATTCTAAATTTTTCCTACTTATGTTCCAAATTATTTTCTATGTTCTAATTGTTTTTAGCTTATGTTCTAAATTTGTTCCCATGTTCCAAATTATTTTTTCAGATTATGTTCTAAATTTTTTCCTATATTCTAAATTATTTTTTCAGCTTATGTTATAAATTTATTTCCTATGCTAAAATACAACTATAAATTATTTTTTAAACTTATGTTCTAAATTATTTTTCTTATGTTCTAAATTTTTTCCTATATTCTAAATTTTTTCATATGTTCTAAATATGAACTCCTCAAATTACAAAAATGTCATTACTAAAGGATCATTTTAGATGGTTACATCAAAACTAATAAAGGGTTGAGAACGGTTCTTATATAAGATTGAGTTCTTATATAGAGGATGGTTCTTACATGAGCCTTCCTCTATATGTATGTATATATTTGGCCCGACTGAAGGCTGCAGACTGGAGTGAAGTTGCTGTTGTTGGAGTTTTTAGATGTTCCCCAAAATTAAACTCCAAGTCTAAGTATATTTGCTTCAAAGGGTCAAAATTCAAATTTGGTTGATTGTCTTGTTTAATACTTCCTCCATTCTATTAATATTGCAACAAGGAGGAAATTATGCATCCCTATGCACATTTGATATGCTAAATATCTATAATTGTGTAAGAGTAAAAATTATAAAAAGTTGATATCTAATAATCCCACCTCCCACCTTTATAGGGGATCTTCATCTATTGGTCCTTTATGACCAGTAACCTGTAAATTGGATAAACTTTTTTTTTTAATTTTATTTAAGTGACACATGGCATTAATTAATTGGTAAAAAAAATAAAAAATAATAAAAACTTTAAAAAAAATTGGTCAAAAGAAAAAAAAAAAAACACCTAATTTTCCCCAACGACCACATAACCCCCAAACCTCCGGCAGCCCCTCGGCTCCTCCCATCCCCACCGCCGAAACACCTATTTCCATCCCTCCCAGTAAAAACCGACCCAGCTCCCCTAAAACCACCCCGATTTTCAATATAAAAGTTTTTTTTAAAAAAAACCTTCAACAACTAAAAGGGCAATTAGGGGGTTTTTGGTGGAGTTTCGAGGGGTTTTCGGAGGTGTTTCGAGGGTATAAGGCGACTTTCGCCGGAGTTCGGGGGTATTAGGCGAGTTTTGGCAGAGTTTCGGGGGTGTATGGCGGTTTTTGGTTGTGGTAATTGTGGTGGTTTCGAGGGTGGGTTTGGGTCAGGGGTTGATTTTGGTGGTGGGTTTGGGTCAGGGGTTGATTTCGATGGTAGGTTGGATTAGTGGGGTGGTTTTTTATTCCAGTTGGTTGGTTTTCGGTGGGGCTAGGGTAAGGGTTAGATTTTCACGGTGGGTGGAGGGGTGGCTGGTGGGTTTGTTTTGTGGTTTTTTTTCTTCAGTTTTTATTTTTTTTATAATTATATTATTTTATAACCAATTACAAAACGACTCGTGGCATTTTAACCTATTAAAAACAGTTACCAACAGGTTAGGGACCAATAGAAGAAGATCCTCTATAAAGGTAAGATTATTAAATAATAATTCAAAGGTGGGATTATTAATTGCGAACCGGTAAAAGGTAAGATTATTAAATATATATATAGAATGACATATAATAGGGACCATGTATTTTCATTGAAAAAAACACGACTTATTTTCCACATTATAAACACAAATTTTAAATCTGCAAAGTATAGATTCAAAACAAATGCAACAAAGTGTTAATTTTATTAATTTGATAATATTGGGTACAATCTCTAATTTTGTCCTCTGATTCGATCTTCACTTTGACTTTGACGTAATTCACGAATTGACTTGATTCTCGAACGAGGGCCGTCAAGGCTTGATCTCGATTGAAGATTTGATGTAGAACTTTGACTTATTGTTGATGTAGACCTTTGATTTGTTGTGATGTAGACCTTTTCATGAATTTTTTATTGAGGGCCGACGAGGCTTGATCTCAATCAATGACTATTTGATGCAGAGATTAAACTGGAGATATTCTTGATGTTTCGAAATTCTTCTTTCTTTCGTGTGGAGGGCCGTCAAGGCTTGATCTCTTCCGCGAGTGATTTTCTAGAGTAGAACGACACATCTAATGCTTGTTGTTCTTCTTCTAGGTTTTGAGGGATTTTCTCTGGAGAGGTTTAGAGTATTTGATGATAGGTTTTCTCTGGAGAGGTTTGGAGTATCTGAGAGGCTTTCTCTGTAT